CTGGCCTGCAGCTAACCCAAGGAGCTCAAGTCTCCTCTGCAGCATGTCTGAAGAAATAAACAAAAGACGAGAACCTCGGAACGAACTAGAGGCCTCAAGTGTGCCGTATATGAGTAGACAAAGCCACACAATCTCATAAGAGAAGGAAAATGCTCATGTGTAAACATTTAAAATAATCAGTACCTATTTCGTTTAAAATAATTTAATAGAAAAACATGTAAAACAACAGCCAAAAACAAAACGTGGTTTATTCTTGCGTACAATTGTGACCAAAAGGATAACATGAAAAGTTAAAACTACTTTTATAATCTTAATTTGAATACAATTTGTGTAGAGTAATGGCTATAAGGTGCTTGTTTGCATTGCACGTGACCCCAGAAAGAAAAGGGGGCAGTCAAGCTGAAGAATGAATCCTATGAAACTTGGTATAGCTTAGGAGGCAGCGGAGACTTGGGAGGGAGTTGACAAGTACCAGCAAGCCAAGCAGAGTACATTCATGGGAGTGGCTGAAGAAAAACCCAGGTGTGGAAGGAGTTCAGTGAGACCATGGAGCTGGACTTTCATTCAGAGGACAAAGAGGCTTCCCGTGTACATTGTATACTGTGCTGCTGACTACACATGGCATCATCCAGACATTGCTCAAGTGTTGTCCATCATATTTGACAACCACCAGTCTTTAGGCCTGTGTAGCTGGGGACTTATTCACTTGGTCCCATATCGTCACCATGGTTGTCACAAAGTGGCGGATAAGATATTGCCACGGTCACATGTCTTCAATACCTCAATAGCCAGGTCGTGGAGTACTTCGAAGATCTCCTCAATTCAACTGACACACCTGCAGTGGAAGCTGAGACTGAGGACAAAGAGGACAACTTCCCACATCCCTGTGGCTGAGGTCACTGACGTAGTTAAACAACTCCTTAATGGCAGGGTTTACAGGGTGGATGAGATTCACCCTGAGTTTCTCAAGGCTGTAAATATTGTGGAGTTGTTGACATTAGGTGGACGTCAGGAGCCGTCACACTGAACTAGCAGATTGGGGTGGTGGTTCTTGCAGACGTTCTTCTCATTACGAAAGGGGGCTGGTACATGTGTTCCAACCTTTGGGGATCACCCTTCTTAGCTTTGCTTGGAAGGAGGAAGGAGGAAAGATGTGGTTTTTGTTCTTGTCGTGGAATACTGGACCAGCTCTTTGTCCTCTGAAGGATATTCAAAGGTGCGTGGGAGTTTGCTCAGTCTACATGGGGTAGACTTGGGGAAGGGATTCAGCTGCATCCCCCTGCATGTTCTGTAAAAAGTATGGGGTACCAGGAATGATTTTATATATTCTGGTTATCTGTTCCATGTATAACTCTGGTGAGAGCTTGGGTCACATTACCAGTCATGAGTCAGAGTTTTTCTCTGTGGATGTGGGACTGCACAACACTGGCTGCCATTTGACACCATTTCTGTTTATGGACAGAATTTCAATGTACGGCCAAGGCATGGAAGGTGTTGTCAGAATGTCATCTCTGCTTTTTGCAGATGATGTGATTCTGTTGGCTTAAATGTGCAGAAACCTTCAGCTCACACGGAGGCAGGTTGCAGCCAAATGTGAAGCAGCTGGGAGGAGAATTAGATCCAGAAAAGGGTTGAGTGCTCACTCCAGGTGACGTCCTTTCCTATGTTAACATGTTTTAATAACTTTTCGTTTGGGGACTTGTGACACTGAATGTGACACTACACATTCTGTTTCAATATTTGCTTAAAATGCATTTAAACATAATTCAGAAACATTTTTGAAACTTCTAACTGCTCAATTTTTGTTTGTTTTTTTGTTTTTGTTTTTATTGTTGTTGTTGTTTGTTTTTTTGGGGGGGGGCATAAAGAGAGTAATACATGGTACTTATTTCTCATCTATGAATTCAGAATTCAGTGATGACTGATTCAATTCATTAAATGCTTGCTCCTTGTCTAGTGAGCTTGATAATCCACATTTGTGAAATACTATATAAGGAAGCGTTGCTTTCAACCACACTCTTATCTCACATGAACCTGAAAGGCCCTGTATGCAATACAAATAAGTGAATAACAGTACGGTGGCATGGTGGTTAGCACTGTTGCCGCACAGCAAGGAGGTCCTGAGTTCAATTCCGCCATCAGGCCGGGGTCTTTCTGTGTGGAGTTTGCATGTTCTCCCCGTGTTTGCGTGGGTTCCCTCTGGGTACTCTAGCTTCCTCCCACCGTCCAAAGACATGCACTTAGGAGGGATAGGTTAATTGATTAATGCAAATTGCCCATAGGTGTGAATGGTTGTCTTTCTGTGTGTGTTAGCTCTGCGACAGACTGGCAACCTGTGCAGGGTGTACCCTGCCTCTTGCCCTAGGACAGCTGGGATAGGCTCCAGCGCCCCCTGAGAAGGATAAGCGAATGGATGGACAGTACTCGCCTGTTCTTTGCACACTGTTTGCTGCAGATAAAGATCTTATAGTGTCCTCACATTACAGACCCTAATCGTCTGCAAATCTAGATAACAGAGAGGGGGTTCAGGTTTTTTTTTTAAGAATTGGAGTGGGTTTTATTTCATGACCTTACTATGTTTCACAGTAAACCACCATTCGTGTATTCGGTGTTCATGACAAAAAACCAAAAATACTGCATGTAAAGAATTATCCTAAGTTTGCTGACTCTTTGTTAAATTATGCAATAGTTTTCTTGTGATTCTTAGCCATTTTGTGCATTTTCTGTCCCTGCATGGTTGATTTTGGTCAGAGAATAACTAGAAAATCAGTACTTTAAAAAAATGACTACGTGCTAATGTACTAATACATTCTACACTAACCGGAAACAACATTAAAACCACCAGGTGAAGAAGACATGAAAAGTAGCTAATACTGATTGTCTTATTTTAGTGGAAACTTTGAGTATTGGACTTTTCCAGGAACCACTTAGGTACATGGCAATCACATGCCTCGCAGTTTCACTCCAAAAACATAATTTTCATGGGATTGGTTCAAGAAATGCACACAAAAAATATTATAAAAGATACGAAGAATTTCCCCCATGTTTAAACTCTTTAGATCCAATCTTGTGGAATACCTACCAGATGGACTGATCAAGCCTGTGTCACTGAAGTCCCACCGTGCAACCCAGAGATTCGTGGATCCCTGGGAAGCATCAGTCGGACCTACACATTACAATTTCGTGCCTGAAAACTGGGGACCGGAAAAGACTTCTATCCTATTCTTTAAGTGATGAAACTCACCGGCATGTTGCAGTGAGCATTTACCAGTCAGTCAGGCACAGCAGTAATTTCGTCTTTGACAGCCTAATACAACTTCCTAAATTGCCTAGAGGTGCAGCATGCACACACAGACGTGTGCAATATTTCTTTTTTAAACATGCAATACACTATACGAAAAGAAAACAAGCATCATTTTTGATTTTTTGGTTTGCCTAGCTTCTCCAACACATGAATTATGTCTTTTTCATCCCAGCAAATATGTTTTATTTTATATTCCCTGAAATCTTAGCCTGATGATGTTACTGTCAGTTATTGTTAAATTTACAAAACAATTCACGATACAGAATGGTTTTTAAACAAGCGATTTATTCAATTTTTTATTCTGAGCAAACAACAAGTTAATTTTCATACAAACACTTCATCCAACAGCCAAACTGTGTGTTTGTGTGCGTTCATTCAGCATGGGTTAGTCTGTTGGCCAGTGTGTTTGTTTGTGTCTGACATTATATATACTATGTGGAACTTTCTGAATCTGTTCCTCAAAACTGTTCCTAAAACCTGATGCTGGGGAATTTTACTCGCTCTCACTCTGGGTAAGTTCACTGTCCTCACTGAGAGAATAACCCTAACTGTCCAATCACAGTTCTTGTGCCCAGTGACAGCACTGACAGGAACTCCCCTCTTTTCACTCTCTGTGCAGAACAGTTTATACACCACTCTGCATTTAATCCTTATTTATTCAAATCTGTCTGTCTTCCAGAATGTGTCTTTCGTCCCCTCCCCTCCAGCAGGTCACCCCTACCTGAGTCTGGTTCTCCTTTTAAAATGGAGTTTTTCCTTCCCACTGTCTCCAAGCGCTTGCTCATAAAGATTCGTCTGATGTTTGGGATTTTCTCTATTTTTTGTAGGGTCTTTACCTCACAATATAAAGCATGTTGAAGTGGCTGCTGTTGTGATTTGGTGTTATATAAGTAAAACTGAATTGATCCGAAGTTAGTATAAGTTCATATTAGTGGTTGGTTTGACTATGTATACACACCACCACCTAGTGCTCTCGAAACATTAACACAGAGGTTCTCATGAGGACTCCAGTTCCTGTTCCAACACGCCTGATTCAAAAGATCACCTGGGTATTATATGCTGTAACAGCTTGTTAGCAAGACAATCATCGGATCAATGGTAGCAGGGTGGCGCCTAAAGCAATCAGTTTCCATAACAACAGAACCTCTGCTTTAGTTTTTGCCCCAAGAAAAGTGATCTAACTGCATGTTTCCCTGAGGTAAGAAACCCCTAAAAAAATGCTGTTTTAGGAAACTAATTATATCAAAATCTATTTACAAACAACCAAATATACTTCTTTATATATTTGTGTACATGCTCATAGGTTTTAATTTAAACTTGTAAAAATAATATTAGTCTTGGCAGTAGCTGGCACCACATCCAATGTGGATTTTGTTCCTGACAAGAGTGCTTCGCCACCAGGTCAAAGGTCAGTCCCTCATCTCCTCCTCATTTTACTGAACAATAGGTTGCCTTCAGTCATTAAATTAAATGGACACTGCAATAACCCAAAAAATTCTGGTTTGTTGTTTGAGGTTAACACCACGCCACAGAGGGATAAACATGCGACCTATCCAGAGTGTTCCCCACCTTTCCTCCTATCACCGCTGGGATAGACTCCGATCAGAAAAAGATCATTTTCCATGATAAAAACATGATATAGGATTAAAATAATAATAATAATAATGACTTGGCTGGGGGGGGGTTCTCACTTTTTATATATTTATTTTTATTTTTAGTCATTGTGAACAAAATAGATACATATATAAATATTCTTTTATATACAAATGGCACAAAAATGCAGACAGCAGAATAAAAATCACAAAGACACCACATGCCATTAATCTGACAAGTTAATAAACACTTAAGGGATGGATTTAGGCTTTAAACCTGGTTGAAAAGCTCAAAGCATTCCAGCCATTATCTCTGATCCTATTCTGTATGTGTTCTGTATACTGTGTCTGTTTTGAAAACGTAACACAGCAGCAAGCTTAAAGTGAAAAGATAAATAGATGAAAACGGAAAAATGGAGGCCATGGCCAAAGGAACTGTACACATCCAGGGTTAGGGTTGCTTTGGTGATTACTCAGCAAAAAACCCCAAAACAAAACAGTATATAAGTTATAAAATATATGGGAATGGATGGAGATATGTGATGTTCACCACTCCATATTCACCAGGTGCAAATCAGCGAAGAGTGATCTTCTTGTCTGGAACTGGCACCTAAAAAGACAGAAACATACGAATGAAGGGGTTAAATTATTATTTTAAATAAAGATGTTCCGAATTGCTTGTGTCCAATCCCGCTCTATCTATAAAACTCTGGACGTTAAAGTCAATATGAGACTGGAGAGTATAAAAAGCTTCCTCAGATGACAAAATGGAAGGTTTTCACCTTGTTTTGTGTCCACTTGTGAAGAAAAATAGTCCTGAAGTTTTACAGGTGTTTAGTTAACATTAAAAAGCAGAAACCACCCAAACACTGCATCCAATGCTTGCCCCTTTCAAGATAACTTGAGCATATGTAGAGCCATTCCCTCCTATATAGTTAGATGTCTATGAGGTTGAGTGTTTTTTTTAATGTCACATCCCAAACTAATCCTCAAATTTCAAATGGGATTTGAATGCTATGATACCCACTGATGTGCTAAATTCAATCTCAGCCCTGCACATCACCACTAAGTTGGCAGTTCTGATATTTTACGATTGATTACAAAACAAGCCGACAGCGCCTGCGAGGTCAGACAGCGCCACGGTCTAAAGTGAAGTTTCTTAGAAATTAAAGGTAAATCATCCTCCTGGACAAACAAAGTCAACACTCAAACGTTCGCTAAACGTTCACATGACGACATCAAAGAGAATATTTATGTCCCTCAAGTTGCAAATATAGTTCAGCCTTCTGAATCTGATGGAAAAAATTAAAGCTGTGCTGCAACTGTGTGGTCCCCGGACCACTAAACAGTGGGTTGCGAGACAGCAGCTCTCCAGGCCTGAGTTACGGCGTACAAATCATGACCAGAACAGGCAGAACACCGAGACCACACGTGTTCCTCGGCTGCTTTTGTTTGAAAAACCTGCAGACCACCACCAAGCAGACAAACTGAAGTCCAAAGGGTGGTTTAGTAGGGGAATTTTGGTAATGGTAAGACCAGGAAACCACAACTTCAAACTTAAAAAACCCCGAAACAACCTAAGTTATTTTCAAGCCAGTACTTAAAAGACCCAACTCAGTCACTGCAGATCCTACTGGCTCTGATGATATGATCACCGTGCTCAGCTGAAGCTAGTATCAAGTTTAAAAACTCATATCCTCTTGAGGCTTCTAAATTGAAATTCCCTTCTTGTGTTACCACAGTTCAGACAGTGACAAAATGAATTTCTCCTTTACTAAGGAGGCTGTGACTTTGGAAGACATCCAAGTGATTCACCCAGCGGAGACTGCTCAGACTACATTTGCACACCTCACCTCTTATGTTAGTTTCACCCAATGCAATTTTGCCCTAAAAAGAAAAAAAAAAGACTGTGGATTTCATCTTTCACTGCATGAATTTATTTGATAATAAGAGTTCCTTTCAGGAGGTGATGAAAAGACGAGCCTATTATGGGAGCGATTTCTGCGTGCAACAGTTGCAGAGAGCTACTTAGTGGCATCGTTTCTTTTGTTTACCTGCAGTACAGACACAGACTTCTTTCCAAATCTCACACCGGCCATTAGCAACCAAGGTTTTCTGTTATAAATTTGAAGCATCAAGCTCATGTTCGGAGGCACATTTTTGAAAAATCTGAATGTATGAGGAGGCCATTATGCAGAGCAACTTCATAAGGTGCCACCTGATGCTGTTGGTTACAATGTACCCATTTCACTCTTTGAGGCAAAGTTGTAATTGTGCATTAATTTACTGCTCATTACATAATAATTCCCCTTGTAAAAAAAATCAATAATAAAAGAAAAAAAGCACATTAGAGAGAGAGAGAGCTGGTAGTGTCTCTGATCTGTCTGTAAAATGATGGCTCTGCTGTTGCTCTGGGACTGAACTGCTTGGATTTATTGAAATCCTGATAAATAAAATGTATCTTCCCCTGCGCCAGAGGTTAGATTTGAACATGTTGTCAGATGCGATTTCAAAGTCAGAGTGGAACCGTTATCCCCAAATGCCAGAAAAAAAAAAAAACCTATGAGTTAGTGCAAACATAGTGAAGAGTTGTGCGCTCAGAGGCTCGGCTGCCTGCTGTAACTAAGAATGTAGATATAGAAGCCTCGGCGCTTCCTCATGCATGATATTTTTTTCTCTCCGATAAAAGATTTTTAAACTTAACCTTCAGACTATCAGTAACCCTGGACTATTGCAAATACTTCGCGACCTTACAGAAGCACAGACTCATCAGAAGTACTTGTTGAATTTATCCAGGGTCATCAAAGGGAAGAGCAACACAGCAGCACCCAGACTATTATGATATTGCTTAGCTTTGCTGCCCTTGGTGGTCTGGCAAAGGGGAGGAAACACTGATGAATGTAGCTGTAAATGCCCAAACATCATTTAAAAAGAAAGGTGTGTGTGAGTGCCACAGGGGAGCAATCAGTCTCTTACTTTCTACAGCCATTTCTTGGTATGTTTCCTCCTCCGAGGTCTGCTCTCAGTGGACTTGCTGCTGCTGCTGCTGCTGCAGGAGAAAGACATCAGAAATATTGATGTTTTCAACTCTGATAGACAAAACACTCATTACTCACTGTGTTACTTACTGACTTAATTACTGATCTTTCATAGTACGGAAGATTCTCAGGGTCTCTAAGAGAAGAAACAAACCACAGACACATTTAGAAGTCAGCTGTGGCATAACTAATAATCTTGGATCTAGTGTTTAATAGAAAGATGAGGTTTTCAGTAAAGGACCTGCATTGACACTGCTGATGTTCTAGAAATGTGAGCTCCACGGGCTGTTCTTGGGAAGAAATCTTCAGCTGAGAAAATAAAAAAGAAGAAGCTGAAACTCTACATGAAGGTAAACACTGAATCTAAACAGAAAATATTTCTCCAATACTGGCTTCACTTCATTGGATTCCCATTAAATCTGGAATCAAATTTAAACTCTTTCTCAAGGTCTTGAATAATATCGCTATCATATCTTGAAGACCTCATCATACCATATCAACCCCAACAGAACACTTCACTCTCACACTGCTGGCTTACTTAAGGTTTCTAGGGTATTTAAAGTAGAATGGGACGCAGAGCCTTCAGCTTTCAGGCCACTCTGTAGAACCAGTTTGGAGGCAGGAGACAAACACCCTCTCTATTTTTAATATTAAGCTTAAAACTTTCCTTTTTGATAAACCTTATAGTTTGGGCTGGATCAGGTGATCCTTAACCCTCCCTTAGTTATGTTGCAATAGGTCTAATCAGCTGGGGCTTCCCATGATTCAGTTTTTCTTTGTCACTCACCTTTTTTGACTATTATACACTGCTCTGCATATCATCATTACTTGTTTTTAATCTCTGACTCTCTGCTACATGGTCACACAACCGATCACAGCAGATGGCTAACCCTCCCTGAGCCTGGTTTGGCAGAGGTTTCTTTCTGTTAAAAGGGATTTTTTCCCTCCCACTGTCACCAATTGTTTGCTCACAGGGGGTCGTCTGAATGTTGGGGTTTTCTTGCTAATATTGTCGGGTCTTTTTCTAACAATAAAGTGCTTTGAGGTGACTGTTGTTGTAGTGTTACATAAATACAATTGATGTGAACAGAACTTGATTCACCTGCAGAGTGGCGTTGCGTTCGAGGGTAGGAAGGCACTTGAATTCCTCACCCGAACAGTAACCAGAGCATCGGCGAACCACCACACAATGAGGTATGTAGTTGTTCTCCACCGACTGGGGGTACTCATCGTACACATACACCAGCTGGTCCATGACCTGACACGAGCACTTTGCCATCACCTCAGACAACTGAATTACTACATAAGAGGTTGGATCTTAATCTTTAAGTCATTTGCAGCAGGTAGGAGAGCCTTTTCAGTGGGCCATGATAAAGGGCATCACTCTTACCTGTATTGGGACCCCCTTCATCTGATATCTGCAAATAATAAAAATAATTCAATTTGTTTGTTTTGTTTTTTTAAAAAGAGCCAAACATTGTTGGAGATAATACAGGACCAGCAAATAGCCAGGAGCCTAGAAGTTGGTAGATCAATACAGACACTGATAACACCTATAATAATACCTATACCATCTATCTATCTATGAATGTCAGTATGTAGCCCACTGAATTGTGTTAAATTAAAACATCTTGGGGGGGGGGGGGGAACCAGGCATGGTGGAAATGGTTTTCATTGCAGCTACGGAGCACCCTCTGGTGTAAAAATAAAACTAGTGCAGGCACATTGATGAGATAATAAAAAAGGATGACGCAATATGGTGTGAGGAGCGCACTGCTGTGCGGCTGAAAAGCGGCAGGGGAAAAAAAGCTGTAAAATGAGCCAGCAAACAACAGCAGTGCTTCTGATTTCTCAATTGGTTTATTATCACGCGGTCAAAAAGCCTTGAAAACATGCAAAGAATAACAGTGAAGAATAGCTGCTGAGAATAGCTGAGCATTCTCTCATGGGACTGTTACACACTAACCACAGCCAAAGTAAAAGCGATGCTGAAAAAGTGAAAAGTAAAATGTGACACAGCATGAATTTTCTGAAGTTCTCACAGCCCGGCCTGCAGACTCAGGACTGGCAAAGTTCCCGATTTTTTTGAACCACAAATTGGGGCGTGCACAGTTGATCTTGGCTCTCTTCTGCCTTTTGAATGTAAGAGATCTCTTTCTCTTTTTTAAAATTCTCTCTTGGCCTCATAACCCTGCGAACACGGATGGGAACGGAGGCTTCCTAATCTCACACACAGACACTGCTTCTATAGCTCAGGCAGTATAAAAGAGCATAATTTAACGAGTTGGCTTCTGCCAAGAGTTGTTAAATGTGCCGCAGCATCCACCAGTTGGACCAGCTGCATACAACAGCTGTATTCAGCCATGACGTGCTGTGAACAACACAGTGCATTGATTAGGTTTGTAATTTATGAGGAAAGGAAGGGGGGCAGATTCATAAATGGCCTCCGGTCAGACTAAATCTGTGACCCATAGTGGAAATTCATAATAATGGTACTAACCAGTGGTTCTGTCTCACGCAGTCTGCATAGCACAAAGGAGATCTTCGTTAGTCTAATGCAATATTTTTGAAGGTGACTCTAAAGTCTTCTTCAACTCACATATCCCAGAAGCTTTTGGGAATGGATACTAAAACTATTCTGCAGTGTGTTAAAAAAAACCAACAAACCCTACACCTTATCACTGTAACCGATACTCGTTGTACGCTTAGCGCCCTGCTAGGTGATACTAAATGTGCCTGTGTGGCCTCGGGTATGAAGCTGCACACCAAGAAGAAGCACCCAAGGGAAAAATAACGCAGAAAATGTCACGATCTCCCTCATAACAGCCAGGAAACATGCAAATCGCATGCAAAATTACAGCTTGTGAGCGCGGTTTCAGCCACATTACAGCCTCTAGCTGAGCTCTGGGGCCCGTTAAATCTCTGTGTGCATGAGCAACACACATCTGACGCTATAGTTACGTCTACACAGATTATTGGTAACCCACTATGAATGCAGATAGCGCATTCACTGTGGGGGTACAGCTGTTTTATGCTGTCACGCGTGGAATCAAGTGAAAAGTCGGGGAAAAGGACAAGGTTAATTCTCTTTAACTTCACTAAACTCCAGCCAGAGAGATTCAGTCTTAAGTTTAGCCCGCTTTAACTTTGATAAGTAATGCAGTGATGGGTCTTAAACCCTTACCTTAAAAGGAAAATGAAAAGAAAAAAAAAGAGAAAATCCAATTGGTGGTGGAGTTACCTGCGCAGGTACCCGCTGAAGGACCAGCAGAAGCAGCAGGATTCCGAGGAAAGTTTGCATGCTGCTGCTGCCGGGAATGAGTTCCTGCTATCCCCTAGTCGGCCAGAAAGAAATGAAAATGTTGAAGGGAGAGCGGAGAAGCGGCTGGAGCTTTTATAACGAGCACAGTCCCGCTGGGCGAGGAAGGCTGCGATGAAAAGCGCGCGCCAGCATGGCTGAATGTATACTATATACGCTTACCATTAACCGGTGACTGTTGCAGAAAAGAATTCAAGGGAAGTGGTGATGTAAAATCAGTCCGTCCTGTCGCTCACGTACACCAACACCAGTCCCTGGGGAAATGATCCTAATGAAGCCTCGTGACTGTCTAAACCTGAGCTTAACGTTTCAGAAGTCAGTCGAATACATTTATACAAGTTTCCAACCTTCTCTCATTTCTTTATATTTTGTTCCAAACTTTTTTCTCCATTCTGGCTGCTTTTTCACTCGTTTTCAGTCCAGTTCTTGCACCTGACCATTTTCAGTGGAAAGTTTTGGTTGTTTGTTAAACCACTTAACGCTGACCTGTGAATCATTAAACCATAAAAAATAAAAAAAAAACAACTTGATAAAGAACCAGCTTTAAATTGTATCCTTAGGCTCTTTCGTATTTATTGTAGAAATATTTCTAGTTTCTTTTAGAAATCCATTAATTCTCTTTCGCTTATCCTTTGCTTTCATAATTAAATAAAATATGCTTGTGTATTTTGATGTAGGCTGTCGCAGGGCTAGAGGCGGGGTGCACCTAAATTGCATAAACTCCGTTTCTGTTTTATATTTTTCATTGTATGTTTGCACATGTTTTAATAAAATAACTGCATCCATTACCTTTTTGAGGAGCAACATCTAAACAAATGAGGGGTGACTCAACTTTTGCATAGTATTGTACATACAAAAATAATAATCATCTTATGCAATTTATCAGCCTACATCAGAACACACAAGCATATTTTATTTAATTATGAAAGCAAATAAAAGTCAGTGAAGTGTCATCTGTAAATTATGATAAATTCTTCAGATATCCCAAAGCTGTTTCAGCTGCTGACCACAACAAATATTGAAGTTAATCACCCAGAGTTCATAGCATCATATAAGCAGCGCTTTATATGCTGTGTTTAATAAAATAAAATAAAAATACATGTCAGAATCAGAAACTTTATTGTCATTGTCATGAGAACAACGAAATTAAGAATGGTCCCCGATCACAGCATGTGCTGTGTCAACAGATTTTTTTTATGTTACTAGGCAGCCATCAATAACAACAGAGGAATACACTCAGTCATGTCAGCGGTTCAATGAAATTTACAGATTTCAATGAAAATCTACAGAAGTTCAAACCTTGCTTCAGAATGAGGAAGGAAAGTGAATGAGTCAGTTGCTGATGCCAGACTGGTTCTGGTGAGTATTTGAAAAACTGATGATATTTTTTTGATTTTCCCACACAACCAAATCTAGGGTTTACAGAGAATGAGGCGAAAATAAAAAAAAATACAGCATTTGTTTTCTGAGTGAAAGGTCTTGTCGAGGTCTGAGGGGAATTAACAGTGTTTGAGCTGTTAGAAAGCTAACAGTAACTCAAATAACCACTTCTTGCCATCTGCATACAAGGAGAAGAGCATATCTGAATGCACAGCACGTTGAGCTTTGAAGCAGACGAGCTACAGCAGCAGAAGACCAATACAAGCTAAGAACAGGAAAGGCTCAACAAAATTAGGCCAAAAAAGCCTGGGCATTGATTGCGTGATCCGTTTCTGCTGCAACATTTTGATGGCAACAACCGAATAATGCAGTTATGCAATTTACTTTGAGTGACAACTACAATGACGTCTGCAGAGAACAAATCTGTTAATAGATTTTTCACATTACATATATTTTAAACCAAGAACTCAGACTTGATGCTGCCTTGTGTAGTGGATTAAATGCTCAATGAAAATAAATTCATGTCAGTTTCATTTATATAGCGCCAAAGTACAACAGTTATATTAGTTTTACAATAGTTTTTATTTCAATGTTCCAGATTTCTGGAACATTGAAATACAAACTGGATGGATTTCCAAGCATGACATTCCTGTGATTTGATGTTAAAGAGCTAAAATAAAGAGATCTAATGCTTTATTCAGGCTCGATTACAATACTGAAATACTAACTGGCACAGCACAGGGAGCACAAGGTGCATCTCTACTGATGTGGCTCCACTTCTGGATCTGGTTGTTAGTTTGAGAAGTTTATGGCTCCCAAACATTGTTTTTGCACTCGGGGCCTTCGAGTGTTGCGTGTTTAGTCTCGGCACACATGCAGCAGACCTCAGGTTATCAGAACTGATGTGACAGGAATGAGCAGAATGTCTCAGAGCTACCCTTTCGCCACGTGTATGTGCACTCATGTGTGGCTGTTATCAGGACGTCTACTTTAGCTGATATATAAATGTCTCGTTTTACTTTACACAACACCTGCTCTCTTGCAGTTTGCTGATCCTCCTACTTACAGTTGACGTTGATTTCCTGATTACACGCATGTCCGCAAGTGCTGCGAGCTAGCCAAATCACACTTCTTGTTCTCGGATTCTGCAGGGCATGGCCTTACATTTATAAGGCGGGCTCAGATGTGCTTTCACAGCCACTGTGATTTATGGGATACTTAGTCTGGTGCGTTCTGAAAAATAGCCTCTGTGGAGGCGATACCAAAGACGGAGGATGTGTTCCCTCTCACCACAAAACTGATGTTGGTCTTGTTTGGTGCTCTTCAGAGAAAAATTACATTCAAATCTTAAATCTTAAATGAACAATGATAATCTTATTTTAAAAAGAAAGCAAATATAGTGTACTCACCAAGCCTAGCACAGGCCTACAATGCAAGTTCCAACTTCATATATTTGTGGATTCTTCAAGGCAGCTTTGCACGACTTCTTATTTGTCTCTTATACCAAGTCCTTTTGAAGCCCTTCAATTCATCCACTGTATGAAATAGGCTGTTTTAGTGTAGTTTCCCTTCCTTACCTTTTAAACCAACTTTCTTTTGACTGGCTGCCTCTTACAAACAGAAGGTTTGAATGGCTTCCATGCTGACAGCCACAGCTCTATGGCTAAAATGACTGCATAAGGGCTGTCTGATCTCATTAACGTCAAAGATTTTGAGTATAGAAAAAAGTGAAGCCTGAGCTTTTGGCTCACATTACTTGCACATATGGTGAATTCATATGGTTAAAATTATAAAAAGTCATAACCGATCCTTTTTGATCAAATAAAGATTTTGTGTAATGACCGCTTATTGCAATCTAAAAGGAAGGGCTGAACCAATATCTGGGGAGTCCCCTTTCCAAGTTCCCACCTAGGCTTCCAAATCAGATAGACAAGAGGTCAGACAGAGAGACGGACAGCTGCTGTTTCCTGTCTCTGGGAACCACGCTGATACTCCAGTCCCACTTCTATTCAGGGGAACGTGGGGTTTCCCTCAGCTGCAGCAGAGGGAGCAGGTGGGACAGCGCTGCTCTGTATGTGCAGATGTGGGCAAGTCTGTTTTTAGTTGATGTTCAGTAAAGGATCATTCATGTACGATCAAACTTCTGCCTGTGCCTGAGCATTCACCAAAGCTTTCACTTTACACTCCAAATTGAAATGACGGCTTACTGCCGTCACTAAAGAAAATGAAAAAGAAACAAATGCACACCTTCGTTTCATCTGCATCACTCAGTGTTTATTCCTGTCACTGAAATCCAAACATTTGATTTCCCACAATTTTGTTTGCCAGTCTTGATATACAGGTGCATTGTGGGTAAATGCTACTGGTTCCCAAGCCGTCAGACAGAGCAGCACTGAGTGATTAATGTGACCCAAAAGGCCAAACAGATGTGACTCGGTTCCAGGACATGCAGGCATTAACAGTGTGTCGGGGCAGGGCTGAATAAGAACATAACCTACACCGTCATCTAAACACAGTGCAGCACGAGTGCAGAGGCAGTGGATATAACTCAATTTCTTCATTTTTCTTTTTTAATCCCAGAACTACACAAACATCCTCCTGTCAGTCTGGATATTTATTTATAAAACATCACAGTTACCACTTTTCATGGGAGAAAAATCACTGAAAGCATGTTTGACTGTGTATTTCCACAGGGTTTGAGGACTACAGAACAACACGATAAAACACCACACACACACACACACACACACACACACACAAATCTTCTCAGTTACTCAGCCTGATTACACTTCATCAATATTGCGTACGTGTGGGCAAACACTTTGCATCACGCTGACCCACTAAATAGAAGCAGGAAGCGTAGCTTGTGACCAAAATAAATGACTTACACAGCAGCATTTTCTGTAAGTCTGCTGACAAATCAATGACTAAGTTTACCTTGGTAGTGACTAGAAACTTTTCAGTGGATTGTGCGACTCACTTTAAGTGCAAAAACAGTACAGGAAAATAAAAAATAAAACAAAAAAACCAACCAAAAAAAAAATAAAACAGGAGGTGTGGATCAGAGTGAGAGAAGTACATACAGATTTAGCATCTCGCTAAATGAGGCTTTAACAGAAGACGCAGCTTCGTGGAGCTCAGACAATATTCCAGATTTAATAGAGCGAGAATTCATGTGCAAAAATATTCCAAATGCTGAAAAATCCAAACATCTGCTCTTTTCTTTTGATATTCTTTCCAAAACTCTGCTTGCCTGATCAAACAGTCAAAATAAAAACACATACAATAACTGTAAGGTTGATGACCTGACATTAAAAACACGTTGAGCTGTTTGTGTCGTTAAGAGTGAACTTCAAGTGTTGTGATGTTATGTTACAGATTACTGAAATGTTGGAATTAATATATTCTACTTCTCTGTAGAGAAGGCTCTCTTCATCAGTGGAGGAGGGGTCTTTCCTGCTTCATACAAAGACTCGGGAGGAGGGGAGCTCAAGCAGCACCAGTCTGGGATTCGCCCCATCTGGTTGTAGTAGTCCCGTGACACAGACCTGCTGCCTAGGATGTCCTGAAGGGCTCCAAAGATGGCACCTGGTGAGGAGTTTACAAATGTTACAAGAGGAGCCACAAACTTTTTTTTCTTCTTACTTAAAAGTAGAAAAATGCTGGCAGTGTGTTTTATCAGAAGTGATGATTGTGATGGATTTTTTAATCCACAAGCCTTCACTTCAGCATGAATATTCAATTTAATTTCATATCTGACCTCCAAGCCACGCAGTGCAGTTGGGCTTTGCAGGGGGAGAATGAATACGGAAGCTCTTGCTGGCCAGCACGTTACTGTATTTGGGTTTCTCCACCAGGAGGCGAATCTCTGCCAGCAGGCGGTGCAGGAAGCCGGGCAGCATGGCGGTGCCTCCGATCACCACCAGGTTCTCAGAGAGCACTTTACGGGTGTCGATGGGGCACTAAAACAAACACAAACAGATATTTTGAAGAAAAAAAACAAAAAAAAACAAACAAAAAAAAAAACAACAACAGTGGAAAACATCTGTTCTTCACTATCCGACTGCTGCTACGGGGAAAAAGAGGCAGGAGGTGGGAGTCATCCCAGCATTACAGAAGGATTCTGGTAAAATGGGCTAAAACAACATGATACATAACAGGGACTGTGACGTTATTGTGAGTGGTCTCAGGGGAGCTGCAATACATCAGAACATTATGAGCAGTTCACTATTGTGTAACATCCGACTTAAACGTTTACATCATTACAGTAAAAGTGTGAAGTTGTGTGAAGTCGGCTGTTTGGGTTTATGAGTTTAAATAGGCTGTTCTGGACTGACTGGATCCCCGTAGTGAAGAGCAACAATGCTTTTAGTTGCATTGAATGGTTGCATCACAGCAGCCAAACAAAGTCAAACTGCACAGCCCGTTTAACTGCTGGATAATGTGCAGAACGACGCTGCGGGGGTTGCTAACTTCCTCCAGCCAGAGATGCTAAAGGTTCAGTAAAGGAGAGCAAGGAACAAACTAAAATCCACCACTAGGAAAGATCAATGAAGCAAAAATCAAAGGAATTATGAAGCCTGCATTATAGTACATAACACACTGAGCTGAAGCACACCAAATAGTGTGAACAAACGTTGTAGAATCGACGGGCGGGACTGTATGCATTAGATTAGGCTGACAGAGATCACTCCCACCTTCACTATTCCCAATCTAACAGATGTTCTATCAAAATCTGGTCATGTTGGTCACGGGTGGTGCTAATACTCAGTTTAACTCAATTTTAAACTATATCAAATGAGTTACTAGTAATAACAAGAGCACGCAGAGTGCAACTCCCCCAAACTTTGATGTCTGATAATGCCTCTATCACAACATACTTTTAAAACTTTTATAAAAGCTTGCTTTTTGTAACCACATGCTGATGTATGACCTCTGCCTGACAACCTCGAGTAACAACCTAAAATGGTATTTTTTATGATTTTTACCCAAATGATTCAAAAAGCTGTAAACACTTGAGATTTCAAAATGCTCCATGCTGTTTGACCTTGCTCTAACACTGAAGGTCAAGGTCAAACGCTCAGCCAAACTAGGTACTCATATTCCCCAAGTAAGAAGGAGAGTGAGAATGGCATTAGGGCTGGGCCATATTATACCGTTCACGGTAATACCGGTATAATGTTAGGCAACGATAGGAAAATGAAATATCGCGATAGAATGGGAGTAAAACGCGCATGCGCAGTGCCTTTGTTTTCATACGCACATGGCCGATTGTTGAGTGAAACAGATGAACCAGAATTGGTTTGTAAAAATGGTGCAACTTCAGTGATGTGGAACTGGTTTGGCGTTTGTCCGTCAGATACACGACAAAGCACATTTTTTTGCAGAACATGCAAGCGGCCGTCGTTATTGTCGTATTTGTCGGACTAAGATGCTCTTAAATCTGGGAGTAATCTGGGTCCTAAACTCCGTACCTTCAGGTCAAACGAACACTGCAGCATCACTGAGAGTTTAAAAACTGTCTAAATTCTTTCATCTTTAATAAAACGATCAGCATTGCTGCTTTACCAGGTGTAACTATGAAGTTTAACTTCCAGGCATCCATGAAAACAAAATTTATTACATTTAACGGAGTTAGAAGTTAGCAGGAAGCTAGCGGAAGTTAGCTCGCTAGTTTCGCTAGTTACCCAAGCATGATATAGCATGTTCTGACTGAGAGATTTCTGAATAAATTAAAACGTACAGCTCTGCTATCACTTCCAACATAAATGAAGACGGGAAACTAAACAGCAGTGACGTTTGTAGGGTTACTGAAGTTGGGCTAGCTGCTATATAATGATGTGCTACGTGATCGCTAGCGACACAGCTATGTTAGCATGACATAAACAGTGAAGCTGGAGGACGAACACTAACACTTTTCCACTTATAAAAGTTAACGTGCCTGATAGTTAGAGACAAATGCAATCGCATGGCAGGATGCTGTAAACGGACCAAACTTCAGTCAGGAGAACAACTGAGATAATCCATAACAACTGAGATAATCCATCCACAATACGAGGTTAGTCATTAATATACTGCAACAACATGGGAATAGAGCAGCTGCCAGAGAATTCAACATTAATGAATCAATGGTACAGAAGTGGAGGAAGCAAGAAGAATGAGTTTAATAAAGTTTGATTTATCTGACTGCCTTGTTTCGCTTAATGTGCCTTATAATCCCATGCACCTTATGGTCCGAAAAATACGTACTGCACACTGCAGTTTAATGTTGCAAAGCACCTCTTTTTAACTTCAGTGGATATTATACATGGTTATGCTCAGGATATGTCAGCCCATTTCTACTGGAAATGCCTTTTGGTTAAACTTTCAGCAAGGAATTTGTATTCGCACTGTTAAATTTTTATATAGCTTTAATGTACATAAAAACCAGCTTCTTGTTTAAGTGAAAATAAAAGGAAGGTTGTCTTTTTGCACTAGTAATGTTGTGGAGTTGTATTTTGTCTTGCATCAATTATATCGTCAGTTATATCGTTATCGCAAATTTTCAAATATATATCGTGATAAATATTTTTGGCCATATCGCCCTGCTCTAAATGGCATCATGCTATGATACAGAGCTGACAGTGATGGTACAGGGGTCTGGAATTAAATGGGATTTGCAAACAGGCTCAGAATCAGTAAATGCCTAGACAAACTTCGATGCTCCTCGTATTTAGGAAAAATTCAATCTGAGAGAGCTGACAGAACCTTCCTCTTATAAAAACAAGGCTAGCAGGGGCAAGCAAACACATTTTAAGTTGCCCCGTGTTTACAGTCAGTGCACTCCAGTCATGGCTCATAGAGCAGGATCTTTAAAAGTGTTGGCTCACTTTAATGTGTTTAATGCAAATGCATCCAAATCCAAAACATTAGATGTAATAAGGCAGCGTTGTGTAAGTAGTGACACCGGCAACCTCTGGAAAGCTTATCAACTCCTTTTTTTCCCTTTTGTTTTACAGGAGCAGTGCAGCAAGTATGAGTATTTTGCTTTGGTGGGAGTTTCCAGTGCGGATGGGTTTTACAAAACAAAAAATGCCACCGTTTCCACTTCAAGTCAATTATCACTAGAAAAATATACATTTCCTGCGAAAATGCTGTGTGGATGCCTTAACGCTGAAGATGTCTGCTGAAAAAAGCTGAAAAAGTTGGAAAAAAAACAAACAAAAAACGTTGCCCTGAGCAGGATTCGAACCTGGCCCTTCTGGTCTCAAGGCGGCTACTCATCTCACTGCGCCAAACTCTCTCACACAAAGAAGAGGTGGAGAGACTGATAATTCTGCTGAAATGAGCAGAAGCTGCAGAGAATTGTGGTGATAAGAGGTGAAAAGGCTAAAACTTTGCAGAAAAGAGGTGAATCAGCAGAATTTCTGCTGAAAAGAGGGTTTTTTTCTGAAAACAGCTGAAATTTGTGCTAAAAAGAGGTGAAAAGGCTGAAAATTTTGTTGAAAAGAGTTGAAAAAGCAGAATTTCTGCTGAAAAGAGTTAAAAAAGTTTAACTGTTAACCGAAAGAAATGTTGCCATAAGCGGGATTTGAACCCGGGCCTCCCAGTCTGAGAACAGATACTCATCTCACTGAGCTAAAACACAGCTCAACCCGGCATGCAAAATCAGTGACCACATTGATAATGTGTTCCATTCATTTCAATAACACACATTAGCAGAAATAGCAGAATTTTTTAAAGTTTAAACATAGTATTTCTGCTAAAACTTAGTATTTATACTAAATAATATTTTTTTCCTGCCAAATCATAGCATTTGTGCTGAAACACAGAAAATTCTGCCAAATCATAGTATTTGAGCCAAATCATACAATTTGTGCTAAAACATTATTTATGATTTAGCAGAAACACTGGGAGTTGGTAGAAATACTATGATTTACATGAAATACTTTGACTTAGCAGAAGTACTACAATCTAGCAAAAAAGTACTACAGCACAGCAGAAATTCTATCATTGAGCAGAATTACTAGGATTTAGAAGAAATACTAAGATTTGGCACAAATACTGTTTTAGCACAAACACTGATGTAAATGGTAAATGGTAAATGGCCTGCATTTGTATAGCGCTTTTCTAATCCATAGGACCCCAAAGCGCTTTACACTACATTCAGTCATTCACCCATTCACACACACATTCACACACTGGCGATGGCAAGCTACATTGTAGCCACAGCTGCCCTGGGGCGCACTGACAGAGGCGAGTAGTGGCTCAAGAACCTTTATTGTGCAATTATACTGTGATTTGGAAGAAATACTATGTTTTAGCACAAATACTATGATTTACCAGTAATACTATGTTTTGGTACAAATACTAAACTTTGTCACAAATACTATAATTGAGTACAAGTACTATAAGATTACAGAAATACTATGATTTAGCAGAAATGCAATATTTTTGCACAAATACCATGATTTGGCACAAATGCTATGATTTAGCAGAAATACTATGATTGGGTACAGATACTATGATTTGGCAATAATACTGCGTTTTAACAACAACTACTGAGATTTGATTGAAATACTATGATTTAGAAGAAATACTATGACTCCATACAAATACGGTGCTTTGGCACAAATACTATGATTTGGCACAAGTACTATCATTTAGTACAAATACTATGATTGGGCAGAAGTTCTATGTTTCAGTACAAATACTATGATTTGGCAGGAATACTCTGATTTAGCAGAAATACTATCTTTTGGCAGAAATTCCTGCTAAAAGGTACTATTTCTGCTTTTTAGCAGAAATACTGTAATTTGGCATAAATACTATAATTTGGGATAAATACTATGACTTTCACCAAGTTCACTGGGGAAAAGATTTCAGTGCTGGACAATGTGAGTACTTGTGTGCAAAGAGTATTTGGAGCTGTGTTTACACCTACAGGCCAGTGGTTCTTGTTACTAAACAGGGAATCAAGGAAGCCTTTTAGGTGAAAAGGGAAAGACCATCTCTGAACCGAGGAGGGCGCCTAGGGTACATTATTCAATATCTTACAATGCTGTGATTACAGTCACTCCCCAACTCTCCAAGAGTGAATGGCACTCTTGGAGACTGATCAGTGGTTATGACAATTTGCATATTGACGATCATGAAACTGAGCTCATTGATAGTGGTGCTGGTTTCACTCATTATGCAAATATACTGTTTATAAAGTTGGAGAAACCTGCAGACAGCTGAGACTGAAGGAGTCACTTGGATGAGTGAAAAACTGCTTCCCCTAGAGATGGAAATCACCAGACAGCTGACGATACAACATTAACACAATACTTCACCCGTGATAATATATTGCCGCAATTTTTAACATTTCGCAATAAGCTGAGTAATTCAGTGACACCATCATCTTTTTCAACTGCAAATTATTTCCTCCACGTTTAACTTCCCAGTATCCGTTTTATCCAATAAGATAATGTTAGCTCACTTAGGTTATGTCTTGCTGCATAATGCGACTGTAAAGCACACCAACACAGAGTAAAACCTGCCATAAATGTTGCCATAAGACAGAGTAGGTTTGCTATTCGTCTACAATTGAAAGGGGTCAAGTTGGCAATTACATGCAATCTGTTTCTGATAATACACCAATTACATCTGTTGCTGCCTACATACGCAGAAATCACATTTAACAGCAGTTCACTTTTAAAATATAAATTTTTCCTTAGTAACCTTTGTGCTCTTCAGGAATAACAAGAATGCAACCAGCTGAAAGCCAGCTGAGTTGAGTTGAGTTCCCTCGAGATGTGGTCACTGATAAAGACTTAGTGAGAACTGTAAAATAGATTTGTGATGTAAAGTGGTTGTGAGTGTGCGACACTGTCAAGTTTACAAAACCGTGTAGTCACCACAAGTTGTGGGGGGGAAAAAAAAAATGTAGTAAAATCTGGAAGCAACCACCAATTCATTTATTTATTTTTAAATGCAAGGGGTTTTAGTGTGTGACTGAGCCATTAGCTTGTTCTGAATTTTAGGTGGTAAATGTGTCCAGTGTTGGATGTTTTGTTCAGTAGAGGGAATTTAATGCGAGTTAGCTGTCTTGTTTGTAGTATTCCCAGAGTATTTTAATTTATTAAATAAAATGTCTACATTCTGACCCTCTGTATCGATACAATATCACCACACAAAATATCACGACACTGTGCTGTATTGATTTTCCCCCAACCCCGAGTTTATCCAACTGAGAACACTATGTCCAAAATCCCAAAAGGTTGATTCTGTTCATCTGGATGAAGCGTTTTCAATGGGAGAAACGTTTCGTCACTCATCCAAATGACTTCTTCAGTCTCACCTGACTGCAAGTTTCCCCAAACTTATAAACACTACATTTGCAAAATGACTGAAACCAGCACCACTAACAATGGGCTGGGAGGTCAGTTCCTTGATCATTAATATGCAAATTGTCATGACCATTGATCAACAACCACTGATCAAAGACCATTGATCAATGTTCATGAGTACCATTTCCAGACAGATGGGCAACGGTTGCAATCACAGCATTCTAAGATGGTGAAAGATGGACCCTTAGGCCTCCTCCTCGATTCACAGATGGTCTTTCCCTTTTCATGTAAATGGCCTCCTTGACTCCACGCTCAAACCAGCGTTCCTCCCTGTCCAGGATGGATGTTTTTCAGTAGAGGCTACGTCCAGAAACAACTTTCAAAGATTGCCTTACCTGGATGATTGATCATGCATCAAAACATGTGGAGTGAAAGCTTTTCTTAAAACGACTAGCCCAAGCTAGTATGATCTCTGCTGTTAGTGGTCCTCATGACCACAATAGCTTGCCAATGTCTCAAAAGTAGCCAAAAACCATATAACATATATTTATACCAAGGTATAAATAGTACTTTCAGTAAGTATCAGCACAGATAACATATTAACGATACACATTACTATGACTAAATGAGAAACTTGTCTTTACCTTAACCAGAGTATCGAGTATCAGAGTGGCCACACTCTTCTCCTCGTTGTCCTGTTCAAACAGAATCTCCATCACTGAGTCCCTGGAAAAAAGGAGAAAATGGCTTTATGATAATTATAACAGCAAGCTGAGGGTGATTACACAGTCATTTTAATTATAAGAACACGTGGAAATACCTGAAGCTGTATAACGTTACAGGAAAATAGAAGGCTCTCTCTGTCCAACTCTTTCTTTAAGCAGACTATGACAGCATACCTGATGGATCCTTTGATATGCAGGATTTTCTCTCCATCAAGCGGGTAATCGACATCTGGAGGAGGGGCGGGCCGCTATGAACACATTTAAAAGTGTTTCATTAAAAAGTGCAGCATTTGTCATTTACTCAGCACAAATGTTTGGGCAGTTGTGGTAAGCAGCATACAAAGAGCTGACTTACCTCTGCTGTGCCATCCAAGTTAAATTTGGCTTCTTGGATTTTGAGGCCCCTTTGCAGGTCACTGACAAAGCAAGTTCTCACTGCAGGAAACAAAACAGCACTGGCGGTCACATAACCAAACTTGTAGACAAGAATGTTTGCGACCAAGCATAAGGAGTTGAAGTATTTTCCTTTCACTCCTTCCATAACTGTGGTTTTTGTTCATGACTTACAATGAATTAAAAAGACATAAAGACCCAAATAAGCCTAAATGAAACATTTATTACATAGCTGACAACCCCATTTTGCAGCACAGTCTCAGTAAATTATACTTTTGCATCATTATAAAAATAAGTGGATGGGTGTTTCGCCTATTCTTAATCGTTCATTGTTCCAGAAAAAAGCCACACAAAAGGCAAAGGAATTTTTTACTTGTAAAAAAATTTAAAGACACACTTTTGTCTATCAACAAAAAGGCTGTAGCCTCCACATCCTAGAAACACAGACAGGTCTCAAACTGTTCTCAGAGTAAAAACAAGGAATTCTGTTGATTAGAAAATGTAGGTCAACCTCGCTGCAAGAATATTCCAGGGGATGAAGGATGGACAGACAGATTTGTTTGTGTATAGACTGTCCATGGTGCTCAAGGATGGCATAAATAAGGAATGTCAGTCAAACCTACCCTTGATGTCTTCCACTGTTTCTTCTGGGATAGTCCCTGGTTAAGAGATTAAAAATGGAATATAAGAAATGAACATTCAGTTCCTTGAATTTACTTATGCATCAATCAGCCAATTTTCCTATTTCTCTTTCCCGTTTGATTTATGATGCTGAATCAGCACTTAGAGAAGCCGATACTGCAGCAGAGGACAAGTGTGACTGCTGGGTCTGAAACGAATCCAGCTATGAAAAACTTCAGGAAAAGCCACCACTGCTGAAACAGAGACTTTTTTGGTGTTTGGCACTACTATCATTACATAGTTTTGGGGAAATACAGTTTCAAAGTCAGTGGTAGAGAGTTAATTACAGAGATCTTAGTGGCTTTGTGCTCACTGCAGAGATGTTTTATGACCCATCTAGACAGACACCCTGTTGTCTTTTAAAATTTATATATTTATATATATATATATATATATATATATATATATATATATATATATATATATATATATATATATATATATATATATTTTTTTTTTTTTTTTTTTTTTTTTTTTTTTAAATATATATATATATATATATATATATATATATATATATATTATTTTTTTTTTTTTTTTTTTTCTCATTCTGCTGCAGCTGTAGATCTCACAGCTCAACTCAATATACTCAGTCTGGTTCCCTCCATCAAGAAAAAGTGTGGAGAGAATCTCTAAAATAGACTGTATGCATAATGCATAATTCACAAACTGAAAAAGCGATTCACTCAAATGTCACACAGAAACAAGTTCTTCCTATGAATAGTAAATGCTACATAATGGGTCACAGCCATTAAATTCTTCTATTCTTGGCACTGTAAAAACCAATCAGCAGTCCATAACAGAGTTATGCCTTCACAAGTGTCCCCATTTAAAAGAAGAGGACAGACGGTATGTGCTGACTTTCTGTATTTACCAATGGCGGCTTGTACGCTCTGCCCTGTGGTTGTGTCTGTGTCCACGGTGCACTGTTCCACGAGAAAGCTGTCTAACTCCCTACAATAAACAAACACATGCATTTTATGCAACGAAACAAGAGATTGAAATGATTCAATTCAACAGTCAGAGATTTTCAATCATGATGCAGGAAAGAGAGACTCAGATGGATTATTTTCTCAGTTAAATGTGTACAAATCACTACACTGATGCTGTTAGAACCTTTAGTACTTACTTATGGATGCCTTTTCCTCCCAGAGGCAAAGCTTCCCAGGCTGGCAAAATAGGAGTACACTCACAAACCTGATTTCCAGAGTTAAGATCAGCATCATAAATGTCCTAGACCTGAAGCTAACAGTACAATAATGCCTGCCAAATATTAAATTTGTGTAAGATGCATCAATTAAAACATATAGCATGTATATAGCAGACCATATTGTTCACTGTTCTAGAGACCACGCTCATGATGGGAAAAGGATACGGGCAGCACCAGCGTCTCTGTGTAACCACAGTCCATCACAAGTGCAGAGTTGATGCCTAAAGTCATGATGGCCATGAGGTGACTGGGAGCAAATAGCACAGATGGCACCTAGAAAATGAAATCATTCATGGAGTAAAACTTTAGAAATTCCTCTACTAACTAAAATTTCCTTGTTAACATAATCATTTTGTTTATCAGTTATTAGATTGTTCTAGTTTATTATAAAGTTTAGGTGGAAATCATGTAAAATTTGAATAACAGGTTGTTAAAGTGTTGAACATGATATGTAGATTAGGCTACTATCCATTACCCATCTGACAATGCAATTGCCACTGATAACAGTCATTTATGAGTCAGGCATCTAATTACACTGACTATTATTTCCTATTATCCATTACATAGAGCATACTCAATGATGCCATGACTTTCATACACAACCTTGAGCATGAACTACAAAAAACAAACAAACAAACAAACAAAACTTAAATATGAGGCACCCATAGGCAAAATAATTTGTCTGCATCAAGTAACAGTAGTTATCATAATAAATGCATTAGTTACCTCTTCTAAATCAGGTCAAATTAATTAAATATAAGGAGGGATTTACACAAGAGCTAATTTTAAGTGGATTACACTGTGATCATCAAGTGTGGTTTTAGCTCAGCTGCAGGAGGAGAGAAGAAGCGCAGCAGTTCAGGGAACTAGGGCAGGTAGAATGACGGGGACACCTGCTGTTCTCTGCTAATCAACTTTTGTGCACTCGTGTGCCAAGAACTTGATGACACACACATCACAACCTCAAAGCTTATGCTTCCATGACAGCTGTGCACCAAACTGAGAAAAGAAATCTTTCCTGACTTGTTGTTTAGAGTTGATGGTGCTCTGTCGTGTTGGGTTTTTGTTTTTTGTGCACAGAGTTGCAAACAGATACTTTATATTAACTGGTCTGATCCCAGCACGTGTCTCTGCTTTCGTACCTCAAACTGTTTGAAGAAAACCTTTGTGAGTGTCTCCCTGAAGTGGGATGGGCAGAGGATGGACTCGATGATGACCACTCTTCTGTCGCGAGGGTTCACCAGAAGGTGCCTAATGAGGCAAATGGGAAAACAAACTCTGATGTGATGTAGCCGCAAGAAAAAAAGAACTTCAATAACCTAGTCATTTATTGGAGAAGAATCTCACCTGAAGTACAGTATGTGGATAAACTCTTTGAGAATGACATAAAGCTCTTCTGTATTGATGTTGTACTGAACCACTTTGACTGCCTGAATATGAGAAATCAAATACCAAATATTTTTGTTTATTCCATTTCCACAAATAATTCTACATAATTCCACTGCAGAACACGGCAGACTCACCTGCTGCTGTCCCGGTTTGCGGATCTCGCTCGGAATTATGAACCTGGGCCCCGTTTCCCCTGCAAAGCCACATCTGTGAGAAAAGGAAGCTGTCAGCTAGCATAATAGGAGATGCTGAAAATATAAATATTTATATAATAATCATTACCACTAACTGTTTTAAATACTATAATTTTAGTTCCCTCAAACTTTATGAAAACCAAAAACGTATTTCTAAAAGACACAGTCATTTAATAAAAAGGGCAAAAGCACCACAGTTTAGTTGTAAATAAAACAACAGTGCATATTTGTGTTGGATGTTCTGTGGCAGTAACTGCAAACAAAGACGACAGTATTTGAGAAGATAATAACAGTCCTCTTGATCTTCACATGACTTAATGTCTGTTTGCCTTCCAGCAAAATATAACAAAAATGACACTGAAATGCTTTCAGTAAATAAAGATCCATTTGCTCACTATAAATACCCGTTAATATACAACACATGTGAGGACTGTGACTGTGAAGTTACAGAGGCAACGTTTAGATTGTTTAGACATATGCAGAGGAGGGATGGTGGACAAAGGATGTTGATAATGGAGCTGCCAGGGAAGATGTAGTGAAGGAGGACACGCAGAGAGTTGGTGTGACAGCGATAGGCAGTCCTAGAAATAGGGTATGAGAGACGGCAAGTGATCTGCTTTGGCGAGCTCTAAAAGAAGCAGCCGAAAGAAGAATGTTTAAGGTCTAATGAGAGAGCTTTTAAAATTATTAAATTAGCATTGATAGCACTTGGCATTAACTTAAAAAAATGCTAGCTGAATGCTGACAGTTACTTAACCTAGCCTAGCATTGGCTACGTGGCTAACAAGCTAGCCCACATCAGCATTCACTACCAAAACTGTAGTAGGTTTTTTGGGGTCAAATTTAACGATGTGTTAGACTTTAAGTCTTCAGTTCCCTAAAATAAACCTATAGTTGAGAGGCGGGCGAGTTATTTCAGAAAACAAAGATGCATTTTAGCATATTTTGCTAGCTGAGTGGCTCTATTAGCAGGGCGGGCTAACGGTTAATACTCACTTTGTGTATGCTGCTCCTAAGTCAATAACAATCGCAGTCTTCTCTCCTCCGCTTCCGAGCCCATCAAATAATGGCATTTTAAAAGCTGCGTCGGCTTTGGACGAAAACTGTACGTATAATTAGCGCCAGCAGCCTCAAATTAGCATCCCACTACAGGTCTGTTGTCTTCCTGTTGGACTGGGCGGGGCCTTCAGAAAGTAGTGACATCACGCGAGGAGGGTGCCTGATTAAAATGCGCTTAACTCAGTAAAATTTAAGAATAACGCCAAAATAATGTTTTGCTTGCAGAGCACTTATTGAAACCAGTGTTAAAATTGATGTACATTCGATTTTAAGAAAATTAAACACGATTTTTTAAAATTCTGTGAGACTCAAGTGTAGCGATAAAATGAAATAAAATACAATAAAAAAAAACTATTTGATAAAAAAAATTTGAAATAAACTCTGTTTAGGTGGAGGTAGCCTGTAAGAGGAACATGCAGAGAGAAAGCAGACTTCTTGCAACTAAATCTACTCCCGAAACTGTCAAAATCAGTTGTAACTCCTTTTTACTCCTGCACCATCGAGAGCGTCCTGACGGCAAACATCTGCACCTGGTTTGGGAACAGCACCAAGCAGGACAGACGAGATCTGCAAAGAGTGGTGCGCTCGGCCGAACGCGTCATTCAATCAGAGCTCCCTGACCTGCTGTCCATCTACACCAAGCGGTGCAAGATCAAAGCTAGGAAGATTATGATGGACCTCTCCCATCCCAACTATGGACTCTTCTCACTGTTGAGGTCTGGGAAGCGCTTCCGCTCCCTTAAGGCCAAAACAGAGAGAATGAGGAGGAGCTTCTTCCCCCAGGCTATTCGGGCCCTGAACCAGGTGTAGGACTGGACTCTCCCACACACATCACTATAAGACTGGACTCTCACACACATCACATCACCACACGCACTCTGGTTATTCTTTTTCTTTATGCACACTTCCTATAATTTATAATCTTAACAGCAGGGTGCAAGATGCTAGCAGGCAAGGCATACATGGAACGCCATAACCAAGTGGCCGGCATAGTGTACAGGAACATCTGTGCCGAGTATAACCTGGAAGTCCCGAGGTCAAAATGGGAGATGCCCCCAAGGGTGGTGGAGAATGACCGAGCTAAGATCCTGTGGGACTTCCAGATACAGACGGACAAAATGGTGGTGGCTAACCAACCGGACATAGTGGTGGTAGACAAACAGAAGAAGACGGCCGTAGTGATCGATGTAGCGGTTCCCAATGACAGCAATATCAGGAAGAAGGAACACGAGAAGCTGGAGAAATACCAAGGGCTCAGAGAAGAGCTCGAGAGGATGTGGAGGGTGAAGGTAACGGTGGTCCCCGTGGTAATCGGAGCCCTAGGTGCGGTGACTCCCAAGCTAGGCGAGTGGCTCCAGCAGATCCTGGGAATAACATCGGAGATCTCTGTCCAGAAGAGCGCAGTCCTGGGAACAGCTAAGATACTGCACAGGACCCTCAAGCTCCCAGGCCTCTGGTAGAGGACCCGAGCTTGAAGGATAAACCACCCGCAGGGGCATGCTGGGTGTTTTTTGTTTTGTTTTGTTTTTAATAAAATTTACCACATACTAGGCATAATTGGTACGACATCTCAGTTCATTCATGTCTGAAATAAGCCGTTTTAGTTCTCTATATCTTCACCTTTAAACCACATTATTCTGATTGGCTGCTCCTTGCAAACACAAGTTTTGAGCAACAGGTGAGATGTGCTTCTGTACTCACAGCCAGAGGTATGTGACTGAAATGATCACTAGATCCGTGCCATAGATCCAATAGCAAGTAAATACAGGGCCACGACTGCTGAACCTGAGACTTTTACCCTATAAAGGCACATTGTAGGGAAGAGCAGTCTGTCATGATTTATGAAATGAGACATAATCAATTTGAAAATTCTGAACACATCTTAATGATCACCCAATCACTGTCATTTTTTATTCTTTACAATAATTAGTTAACCCAACAAAACACACCGAAGTACCGATCGTATGAGGCTAGTATCGATCCAATTCCAGTGTTGGAATTGGTATTGGTGATACTATAGATATTTGGATCGAACATCTCAAATGATCACATTAAGGATATCTTCTTCTACTAAGAGAAAAACCTTTAGTGATCAACTTATATGTCAGGAGTATCGGAACAGCTGAGACGCATTTTTTCTAAACACGCTGCGCCAAAAAATGGACCACCCCATAAGTACAGGCCCATAAGTGCTGCTTTTAATCTAATGTAGCCCAATGCATCTGGCTTCTGTGACAATTAAAGTGAATTCATAAATATTTTTATTAAGAACTCGAGAACTTGTCCACTCTCCTCTTTTCACACAGAGGAGCAGCCGAGCAGTTTTAAGTGGGGGGAGCTGTCTATTCAGCACCACCACCAGCATGAAGTGACCCTTTGGGAACAACTGCACAAGTCTGCATTAGAGACGAAACAGAAAAAAAAAGAAAGAAGTGACAGAGGCATCTGAACATTTGAATCAGAGCACTGGCTGTCAGTTCATGATAAATCTTGCAGCTTTGGAGCATTTGGTGGCAGCACTTCAGAAGCAGGCGGAGGTACGTAGGCTGACTTTGAGTCAGTGACGCTGAGCTGCACAACAACAAGCCTCTCCAACATCTTGCCTTCCACAGCGCTGAATTTGTGTGCGTGTCCGACTCTCGTTTTTCTTCGCGCACTGCGAGAGAAGCTCCGCGTCCTCCGAGCAAAGAAACCCGTCATGAACTCCACAAGGTAACACTCTATTTTTAGCTCTGCGCGACTTTAATTCTTGCCTAATGCAAAATCTCGCTTTCGACACCCGAATGTGATGGGTGATGCGCCTTGGGGGAATGCATCGGTGCCCGTGAGCCTGTGCATCGCTCCTTTCTGTGCAGACTCGAGAAGTATGATTCAACACCGCAGTGTGAATTTTGTTTACAACCCAAATTCTCGGGTGATCGTGTTGTCATGTGGGGGACTGCATGAGCGTACCGGCTGAGTGTATCAACTGTATTGATTCCGTGGAAGGCAGGATAGTGGTTTATCCTGTAACATGCAGTTCTGTGCATCATCACTGCTGAAAGAATTTCACTCAGACGCTCGTCTGACTCAGGCAATAAGAAGGGTGTCAACCCTGCATGCACTAGCCATCTCTCTCATTTTGACAGCAGTGATTGATCATTAGTTGGCCTTTGTTATCACATCAAATGAAGCAGCAAACATGGTACGTGATTTTCTTTAAATGTCTTTAAATCCAGTGTGCAATTGGACCGTGAGCACACACACATCCTTTCTGAGGAACGCTCTGTTTTGAGCTGGATGCAGTTGAGTGGAAATGTACAAATTCTTCATGGAGCCATCTGAAGAGGATCCTAGAGGATAGAAAACCTGGTGCTATTTATAGGTGAAGTGTGGAGGGGTGCTGAGGATTGCTGTGTCAGGTTCCCTCTCTTTCTCTCTCTGCTTCTCTCTCCCACTGAGCAGCTCCTTCTGTTTATACAAAAACGAACAAAAGAGTCAGAGATGAAAGGGAATTTCATCCGCATTAAGAAAAGAAAAAAAATGCAAGCGCAACATCAAAGCAGAGGGAGGCAGAAATGCTCTGTTAATCCTCTTCTCTGTGACGATCTCAAATTAAACACAGTTTGCATTCTGACCCTTTAATCTATAGTTGAAAAACTTTCTAACTTGGCCCTGCTGGGTGTCCGTCTCCATTCTCAAGCACCGCCACCGTTGCTTTGTCCATGTCTGTATATGTCAGCTGGGAGACAAGGCGTAGAAGTTGTAGGTAGGGATTGGTTACACCTCTGTTAAGCCTGTTAGCATGTGTCATTTCTGTTCACTGTCAGCAGGCACTGAGAAGAGCCAGAGATGCTGATGCTTGGGATGCTCCATCACCTCCTACTGACTGGGACGTGTCTCTGTGTCTACGGAGCCCCGTTAAATCTCCCACACTTCAGCCCTACGCACGCCGGCTCCTGTGAAGGACTGTGTGCCAGCTCGATAACAACCACCGGGTCAACACATGCTACAGATTTAAAACCTACACCATCAGATTCCAGACATGAGAGTGACCTGACAGTGAATGTAGGTGGAGGAGGAGGGACTGGCCCACATGAACGACCCAGGGGGACTGATGCAGTGACGCAGACAGAAAATGGGGACAGTCTTGATGGAAGATCTAGGCTGAGTGAGGCTGGTGGAGAGGCATGGAGCCAAAGCGCCGAGATAGAGAAGATCGGGAGCACATCTGAGATGAGAGACTCTGAAAAGCAGTCAGAGTCTGTGGATTCAGAGAGCAAAAAGGAGGATGCACCAGTTCACGGTGAGCATTTAATTCCAACAGGTGGGACAGAGCAGTCGGAAATGGACACCAGTACCCGAAAACGGACTCCAAGTAGATTACTGACCTCCACTTCAGCACCATCACACCTGCAGACTTCGTACAGCCAAAAGAGTAACCCCGCTGGAGCATATGGGACAAAAAGCTTTGATTCTCACTGGGATAAAGACACAGAAAGAAGTTTGCCAGAACCTCCAAATCCTTCTGTTTCCCTCTGGACCCAGACCTCCCACAGTCCCACCCCTCATGTTTTTACCCATCAGACCTCTTCACCTTTGGGAATTTGGGGCCATGACAGCACAACTATGTCCTCACTACCAGACCCATTTTTACCTGAAATCGGACCAAGCCTGATACCCAGAGAGGATGGCCCGGAAAGTCTGTGGACTGAAGCAGCAAGACTCGGCGGAGGTAAGGCAGGACAGTTATGCAATTAATGTTAGCATAAAATAGGCATGCACAGTTTCATTTTATTGGGGTGGCACTCCCTCTACTCCCTGATTGTTCATCAGTTGCACATGTGCACACTAAAAAGTCACAGTATGCCTTCAAAGTGTGCGAGGTATTGCTCCACAGTAATCGTCACCCCAGTAAGAATTCGTTCCAACAACATTCCAGCTTGCTAGATTTCGCAGGGTTTCATAGGGCTTCATTAAAAAGTATGGCAGAAATAGGAATGGCATATCCAGCAGCGGATTTTGCCTTTGATGATTGGCAAAGAAGGCGCCTCCTTTTGCAGACTCCACTTTGAACCCCAGCTGGGACCCATGGCAGTCTAATTACTTTCTATTCTTGACTCGAGTCTGAAAAAAAAGAACACACACACACACAAGCCTGGA